CAGGAAACAACCAAAAGGTAATTGATTTGATTGGAACATTTCGTTAAATACTTAGGGAGTTTTACAAACTACAGTTAAGTACTGGTCAATTTTAAAATAACTTTTTAAACTGGTGTATGTCTTGAAATTAGAAGTTTTGCTATAAATTATATGAGACTTCTCTATACATTTTTATAATAGATTATATTCAATTTGAATTTTAAGAACTCTCTTGCTTCCTCCATAGAAAAAAAGAAACTTAATTAAGGGAATGGGAAGAGCAAGCCCAAGCCTTCCTGACAACTCCCGGGTAGATGAACTGTAATATCTTGGGAAAAATCATGCCACTCAGGTTCATAACTGAGTGATGAGACTTGGTAGAGACTGGAAAAATTATGAAAAAAATTGGTAATTACTGTGCAGGAAAAGGTACAAAGAAAAGACCTTGTAGACTCCCCTTATTTGTAAACTTGCCAGGTTTCTTGAAACCGTCTGTTTGGGCAAGGTCATCAGCCATGTGAAAGAGTTTGTTTGAGTTAGGGAGATTCCTAAACAATGGATTGAGTTAATGAGAATTTACAAGTTAATATATAATATAAAAGTGATTTCTAATAATTGATCTTCATACTAGGATGAGTTTAAACTTGAGGAAGAGAAGACAAAAAAGTGAAGGATGTTAAGTGAAATCTTTTGTGTGAGTCCTAGTAAACCTTTATTACTTATTGTAGCACCATGAGAGTGATAATAATTGTATCCAGCCCTCAGTTCTGATTAGTGAAACTTGTTATATTTGAGGCAAAATCTCTTGGGACTGTAATTAATATTTTTTTGAGGTTTGAATTCAGGTATAGTTGTCTGATGGATCATTAAGTTAGTAATCCACCATTTGATAGAAATGCCATAAGATACTCAGAGGGAGTGTGATCCTGAACTGTGACAGGTGGGTGGTCGTATTCTGGGAAAAGATTGAGGGGATAACTTTGGAATGGCCAAAGGTAGGATCCTTTTGACTCAGTTTCCCCGTTGTCTTTCTTTTGAACAAGAATGTCTCCCACTTGGTTCATCCTGAGTCTGGATATGAGGTGGAATGCATGATTGGTTGTCAATGGTGACTCTTACCTGAAATCAAAGAGAGCTAAGGCAGCTTTATCCTGGGCATACATGTGTTGAGTTAATCTGTGCCCTTAGGTTTAGGCCTGGGGGACCAGTTTTAATGCTGTTAAAATCATGTCCCTGCATTTCCCTTTTATAGTAAATTCTTATAGTCAGGGCAAATGGTCAGTAAAAGATATGAGCACAGTGCCAGTATATCAGATCCTACTGTTTTCAATATAAATGTGTAGTCATTACATTTCCCAAACAAGTAAATTAGTGCTTGGGCTTGTCATCTGCCCACTAATACTTAACAGTTATGTATATGATTAAGTCACAGGAGTATTTCATTCAGAATACTATGGGAATAATTGGATAAAGATAAAAAAGCTTGTGAAACTAAGATGTGAATCTATTAATTGTTTGTTTGTTTTGTTGTTTTTTGGGTAGGCAGTGGGGTGAAGCGACTTGCTCAGGGTCGCACAGCTAGTAAGTGTAAGTCTGAGGCTGAATTTGAACTAAGGTCCTCCTGAATACAGGGCCAGTGCCCCTATCTACTGCACCACCTAGCTGTCCCCCGAATCTATTAATTTGTGAAGTCAAAGTCAGAAACCTCCTCTGTTTCATTTTAAAGATAGAATTTCATTGCATTCAGTAATCTTAGTAGAGAGTAATTTTTGCATAATATCTATGCCATTTGAATATGGTTAACAACTGAACATGTTTTACTACAAACAGCTCCTTTGACTCTGTTCTCTGTATATAATTGGGAATTGAGTGTATTTGTAAATCCCATCCCAGGTCTTTTGTTAAAATTGGAGTAAAGTTAGTTAGCCTCTTGTAAGTAAATTCATTTGTGTAACCACTGAACCTAGGGGTAGAAAGTATCTGCCTGCAAAGAGTATTGTTACCCATGTTTTCATGTATAGGATTGAATCCTTAATAGCATCTGATCCTTCTAAAAAATTGAAATTAAGTGGAGTGGAAAATTTTCAGAAAACAAATAAAGACAATCCTGTATGTCAAATGTAAATGATTCTAAGGGGATATGTAAAAACTTAAATTCTTTGTAGTTTCAAGTGAACTCTGGGTCCCTAATTTGTTGTTCTTCTTATAGCTCTATTATAAATAAAATCAGAACCACAAGTTTTAAGTTGGTTTTCACCAATGAACTAGTTACTGGAGAAGTAAAATTTGAGAGGCTGTACTAACTTGTATTGAGATCTGTTTTGTAAAAGATTTTAGCAGGGGCGTCTAAGAAGTCTCTGCAAGTAACTTGGAACCAAAGAAGCAAATCTACTAAAGAAGAGTCCCCCTGTAGAGCTGCCCCAAGAACAAGACCTATCCCAGAATGTCCAAGAAAAGATGTTTCCAGGGATCAGACATGGCACATCTGGGATCCAAGAGGAAACTTGTTGACTAAATGGACATTGGGAGTGGGTTAATAAATGCAAGGAGACTGGATGTTAGTTAATGTTGATGGTCATTATTGTATTACTTTGGCTATTTGTTTCACTGTATCTGTGTACTGAGTTTTCTCAGTTATCTTTGTGTCATATAAATTTCCCCTATAAAAATTAGTCATGGCTTTAGTTATTCTCGCTCTTACAGAGATTAATCAGTCTTCTTGTTCTTACATTGACTAGTCAGGGAAAATTGTGACAAGCTCCTATTGACAAAAGGGGGAAATTGAGAAAATCAAATGATCCCAATTCCATTTTGTGATTGACTCTATTCTGTATCAGTTGTAAAATTGCCCAAGCAATGTTTCTTTGTCTCTGAAATTGTTCAGAAATTCAGTTAGTCTGTGATGAATTAAATTCAGAAATCCAATTCTCTCACCAATCACCAAATGCCATTGATTCTTTCTTTGCCGCCCTGGGGATAGGGTAGAAGAAAATTGTAACGATTTTGGTAATTTTCTTGTTGGTTGTGTTATTACCCTACTGGTGCTTGTATTACTGTTGTGGATTGGGCCTCCAGTGTAGGTCTTTGGTAGGCTCTTCTGCTTCCTCCATGTTAATGAAACCACTTGTGCAATACTCAGGGAACCTTGCAGAAGATACTATCTGAAAGAATGTATGAGCGGGTTATGAGAGATAGGGTGTATAGTGGGAACCAGAGCCTAGGAACATGACCTTCAGTTTCATGGTTAATTTAAACTACCTTTAACAACTGAACATGTTTTACTACTTTGTTCTTTGTATACAATTGGGAATTGATTGTATTTTTGTATCCCAATCCCAGGTCTTTTGTTAAAATTGAATCAGGTCTAAAACTGGAGTAAAGTTAGCCTCTTGTAAGTAAATTCATTTAATGGAAACAGCAAGAAACACTCTAACTATCCCCATGGGAAGACTGGGCTATCCATGGTACTATGCCTCTTTTCTGTTTCTATGTAATATCTGGCCTAGCCTAAGGGTCATGGGAGGATCAACTGTTCAGTCAATCTTTCTGCCACCAAGGACTGGTCTCATGAATAAACTCCCTAAAATTCCCCAATTAACCCAGTAAACCCTAATAAATCTACACGTGTATCCCATGCTGCTGTGGACTACCCTTCTTTCTTAGGTATCTTGGTATTCTCTCAGAGGGTCTGCACTCTACAATTGGCATAATCAGGGCAGTCACTCAAAAAATACTTGAATTATTTACTTCAAATATTCAAATGCTTGAATATTTAATAAATATATAAATAATCGGCAGACTGACTGACAGACAAAGACAGAGGGCAGAAGAAGCATCCAGAGGCATAGGCTCACACTCCACTAGTTGAGGCATTCCCCACCCCACCCCTCACCCCCTAAATGCACTAGCTGCCACTTGGGAGTTACCACCATGGGGAAGTTATTCCATCTTTCCAGAGATCTACTCAAATGTCTTGATGCAATCTGCAGCTGGGAAAGAAGAGGGGATGAGGGCATATCACTCCCTTTTAAAGATCTATTGAGTAAGCAGCTCTTCTGCTCACTGGCCAATAAGGGAATAGTGTTATCATTCCAGAACTCCTGAGTCTTCATCACCGAGGTAGCACACACATTTGGCTCTAAGGAAGCCGGGCAGTTCTACACAACCTCATTACACTGATATGTGTACATGTTGTTTCTCATGATAGGATATAGCCTCTTTTGGATGGAACTGTTTCATTTTTTTTCCTCTATATTTTTCTCTAGTATCCAGGCATAGTGCCTGGCAATAATAGGTGCTTAATAAATACTTATTGCTAGATTAGTCTCATAGAGTTTCTGAAACTTTTAGTTGATCTGTATTTTATGCACCAAGGTTCTTGTCTTTTGCATTAAATACTATATTAATGACACCAAATTACAATTTGAAACCCAAGTCACAGGCAAAAATGGTTCTAAAGAATTACAAAACACAGACAGGTTTCTTTTGTGTGATCTTTTATTTTGGTGTTCATTTAGTATTGCCTGTAATAATAAAACTTTATATTATAAAATCTTATTCAGTAAGAATAGTCTCCCTTTAGCTTAGCCTTTGTTCAGGATTAATGCAGTGTCATGGAGAAAGTAAGCATTAAATAATAACTTTGGTGACTTAATAACCGGAAGAGTTGTCCTACCCCTTAAAACACCTAAATTAGTACTACCAAATAACATTACTTTTGGGAGAATATAACTTGAATACTTCGATTTGTTAATAATGATGAGGATAATACCTTGTATTTATTTCTGTTGATTAGCTTCTGTTGATTTGGTGGATGATTTGTTTCTGAAAAGGGAAAATTTTGAAGGTTTGTAAGTAGGGATTTGAAGATGAAGAAAAATTTATTATTGGAAGGTCATGAAGCTTACAATAGTCAGAAGTGATGGGGGGCTTGATTAATTGTGTAGTTTTTTCCCCCTTGCTTTAGAATAGTATATGGCAATATTTTTCCCTTTTTTATATATAGTTAATTTTATCTTTAGGAGGAAACTGTTCCTAATGATAACACACAAGTGAAAGTGACTCCAGGGGATGAGGCACTTCGAAACACCAAAGAGCACCGGGAAGAAAAAATTCGGCTCAAAGAAATAGATCAGCAGCTGAGAGAGTTGGAAGAAAATTTCGTAAGTCTTTATATTTTAAACTTTCAAATTTTAATTTTGATGAATAAACGTGAAGAAAAGCAAAATGAAGGCATTAGCATTCTGTTTATGCTTTGTGATATATCAAATCATCTATGAAAATCAACGTGGAATTTAGAAATAAGAATTTGAATAAAATTGAAGATTTAATCCAGTCATAGGGATCACAAATCTCTTTCCTTAGGACACAAATGATGCTGGGAGCTGCTGGCAACATAACTCCTTCTTTTACTAATTGTGTTAGGAAGCTGTCTCGGGTAATATAAGAACCGGCCTACTTCTTCCAGCGGAAAGTAGGGGATAGAAGGACAATTTGGAAGAGAGTAGATTATTCCCTTAGAGTCCAGTCTCTTGATCAAATGGAAAGTGCTGATGGGGCAGGAAATACTTTGGGGGAGAGCATATGCAAGTTGTAGTGAGCCATCATCTATCTGGTTGGGGAGAAATATGCTTATGAGGTATAAGGGGATAAAGTGCATGTGGCCTGTGAGAAACTATTTGTCAGTCCTTGATCAATGGAGACTAATGTACAAAAGAAACCTTTAGAATAATGGAGGTACTTTTTTTGAACTTTTAGCACAACCAGAGTGCTTTTCTCAAATGGACTAGTTATGTGAGTACTTTTCACTTGGGAATGGGAATGATTATAGTCAGCTAGAGGCTGAGGAGAAGAGCAGAACTTCAGAGACAGCAAAGGTAGCCTTTGATAAGCCAATACCACCTGCTTGGAGCTCAGGTGGGCTGTAGGATTTGTGATGAAATGACCACACCTACTAGGAGCTGGGGAGAGCTGCAGGTACAGAAAGTTGTGGCAGATGTCAGGGGGCAGTTATAGGGAACAATGACTTATGAAATCTGCCAAGATTAGTGGGACACGAAAACTCCTAGAAACATACTATGGTGGGCAGTCAGAAGGATGGTGGAGGAGAGAACTGATATGGAGGGACAAATTCCCATTTCACCCAGCTAGAGTCCTGTCTGATGGAGAACAGGAGGTCCCTGAGACTATTCAGAGTTCTTCTGAGGGGAGGAGTTGATCACTAATGGGTATCTTTACTTTCAATGGGTTAGAATGCATATTCTGTATAATTCTGTTTACCTGAAAGTAAAATGGTTCATCTTTTACGTTTCCTGATGCTATGTGGTTACAAGGGGATGATCTGGTCACTGATCCTTGGAGAGATGTCAGATACTGAAGTTCCTAGAGCATCTGAATCCATAGCTGGGAATAGAACTACACTGAAACATATGAAAAATGTGAAAAATATCATTTGCTAGTATATTGGTGAGAAAAAAAGGTGCTGGTCTCAGAGATAGAAGAGAGAACAGGTACTGTGTGAACTGGAAACTACTCAAAGAGGCTTTGTTGTGTGGTGTCTACTGGAGCAATTGGGATGAATCTAATTGATTATATCACCATGTCTTCACAGTGCTGTTGTAGCCAGGTTATTTAAAGGAAGCTGACAGAGTGATGTATTTGTCCCATTTCAGTGCCTGCATATGGAAAATATTTACTAGAGAAGTAGTCCCTTCCCCCCCACCAAGGACAGAAAAATAAATTTATCTGGTAGAAGCATATATACAGCTAATTTTAGATTGTTGTCATTATTGTTGTTCATCCTTTAGAAAATGAGTGAAAGAAGATGATGGCAGCAGAGATCAAGCTAATGTCCCCTAAAAATGACCGGCATTCACTCATTCAAAAAATATTTGGTGTGCATGTTTTAGTTTTCCAAGTTTTTTGAGTATCTTTGCCAAGCAAACCCCAAATGAGACCTCGAGGGTCAGATGTGACTGAAAAAAAAGGGCTGATTTGAAAAAAGGTTGATTTGAATGATAGAGTACCTACCTTGCTCCCTTTTGTTATCTGTGCTCTGTTTAGGCTGTGGAATAAGCATGAAGATATAACTATGGACCCATGGGGAGCATCCACATGTCATACCAATTGCAACCAAGCACATACATCACAACAGACATAATAAAGCTGTTTACAATCCCAATTGGGGGAACCTGCTTCCTTTATTAGGCTAAGATTTTACCTTCTGGTTCTTCTGGTTGCCTAAGGTTCTGGTTCATTTGCCCCATCACTGTCAGACAATAAATATTTATTATGTACCTACTACGTGCCAGGTACTGTGCTAAGTGCTCAGAATTCCCCTATTTTTCTTTAAACCCAAGCACTAAAATTCACTTAGACAGCATATCATAGTAAAAAGTAAAACAGTTTAGTTAGGAGAAGCATAGTAATTTCAGCTATAGGAGCCCCATTAGGAAAAGCTCCAACAAATCTTGCTCCCTACATCCTAGGATGAAGCATGTCCCCGCTTGCTCTCCTGCGAGCCATAAGGGGAAATGTTAGGAATTTCACTTATACACCAGCTGTCTTGAACTGCAGCCACTAAGGGGTGGGGTGGTGATCACAATCACCCAGCACTTGTAGGGGATGATCATGTCTGGTCTGGAGTCAGTACCAGGATGGGTCCTGGGCTTTCCCACTTGGTTGCAGGAATGTCAACCACGGCATGTGCTGGCTCACTGTTGTGTGCTCGCTCACTCTGATTGTTGGCACTCGATAGGACATGAGTGATTGCTCACTTAGCTGTGTTTCCCAGCTTAGGGGCATGAGAGGTCCTGCTTACTCTGCCCTGACATTGAGAAAGGTAGTTGCTCATGTAGACATTGCCTATCCCTCTCCATCCTTCTCCTTCTTCTCTCAATCTTGTATCTCTTCTGTCATATCTGGCAGAAGAGGAGAAAATTAGGTGCCTGAAATCACTTGGCTTGTACCATTTCATCCCTGCAACTACTTTTAAAAAGTTCCACAAGAATCCATGACCTAGCATGGCCCTGACAGCTAGCCTTTTGATAACCCCACAAGGCCTATTTAGCTCTGTACTTCCTTTTCTCTCTGTTGCCTAAAAATATAGACATTGTTGGGGGAAAAAAAGCTGCTACCTAATGGGAAGATGCTTTTGTAAGTATTGCAATTTGATTTAGTGGGGAGAACTTGAGTGGAATTGAGAAGTTGAAGAAGGTAGAGAAGGATTTGAACTGAAGTATAAGTAGTGCTTAATCCAAAGGAAATGAAGGATTCAAGGGGGAGGATTTGAACCTGAGGAGAAAAAGAGAATAAAGATTCTAGGAAAAGGAAGTTAGTAAGGCAGCTTAAATCAAGGTGAGTAATGTGATTTGTTAAGAAAAGGTAATAGGTTAGTAAGAGAAAGGAAAGAAAGTAAAATTGTGCATATCTAGCGAGGTATTAACTTTTTTTAAAAAATAAATTTTTATTAATTCTTTTGTTTTTCATATCACCATAATTTCCTCTCGTATTCTTTCCCCTCCCCTCCCAGAGAACCCTCTCAGATAACAAATAATATTTTTAAGGACAACAAAAGAAAAAGAAGGGAAACAAATCAGTATACTGATCATTATGTCAAAAAAGTAAAAAATAAGTTCAATGTACAATATGAGTGTCTTCTCATATCTTTTTTTTCAAGCCATGCTTGTTATTTATAATTTTATATTTGTTTTTAATATTTTGTTGTGGGGGCAGCTAGGTGGTGTAGTGGATAGAGCACTGGCCCTGAAGTCAGGAGGACCTGAGTTCAAATCCAATCTCAGACCAAATACCTGATGCTTACTAGCTCTGTGACCCTAGGCAAGTCACTTAACCGCAGTTGCCTAAAAAAAAAATTTTGTTGTAGTTCTTTCCATTAATTCTTTCCATTAATTTGTTGTATATTATTTTCTTGGCTCTACTGACTTCATTTTGTGTCAGGTCATGTATTTCTTTCCATGCTTCTCTGTAGTCATCATAATAGTCGTCATTTCTTACAGCACAATCATATTCCATTATATTCATGTACTACAGTTTGTTTAGCATTCCCCAACTGATGGGCATCTACTTTGTTTCCAAATCTTTGCTACCACAAAAAAGTGCTTGTATAAATATTTTGGTGCATATGGAGCCTTTCTTATTATTAATAGCCTCCTTGGGGGTATAAGCCTGTTGATAGAATCTTTGGGGTAAAGGGTATGGACATTTTAGTCACTTTACTTGCATAATTCCAAATTGCTTTCCAGAATGGTTGTACTGTTTCACAGCTTTGCCCACAGTGCCTATATTCTTGCATCCTTTCCAGCAGCAACTATTTTGACCTTTTGTCATCTTTGCCAGATTGCAAATTACATGGTAAAACTTCAGAGTTGTTTTGACTTGCATTTTTCTTATTAATGACTTGGAACAAATCTTTATCAGATAAATTTGATACGAAAAATTATGTTTCCCATTCAACAGCTTCTCTTTTTTATCCTAGGTGCATTAATTTTGTTTATGCAAAAGCTTTTTAGTTTCATGTAATCAAAATTATCTACTTGATATTTTGTAATTGTCTATATCCCTCTCTTATCTAGAGTTTTGAGAGACATATTCTGATTCCCTTATAATTTTTTATTTTATGATTTTTCTTGTATTGAGGTCATGTATTTATTTAGAATACATTGTAGTATATGTTGTAAGGTGTTGGTCCAAGCCTAATTTTCATAAGAGTGCTTTCCAGTTTTTCCAGAAGTCCTTCCTATCCCCCCAAAACCAAAAAAAGTTCTTTCCTTGGTATTTTGTGTTTTCCACTTTATTGAACACTGGGTTATTGAGTTCCATTGTTTTTGGTTTTCCCTTTTTTAGTCTATTTCATTGATCTACGTTTTTATTTTTAATCAGTACCAGATGGTTTTGATGATTGCTGCTTTATGATATAGTCTGAGGGCTAGAAGTGATATTCCCCCTTTGTCCCTACCTCTTTTCATTATTTCCCTTGATATTCTAAAGCTTTTATTTTTCCAAATGAATGTTGTTATTATTTCATTGAGTTCTGTAAAGTATCCCTTTGATAATTTGATTGGTATAGCATTAAAATGTATTTTCACTTTGGTAGCATCATTTTTATTATATTGGTATGGCATACCTGTGAAGCAATAAATAT